ATGGTATGGCCCTCTCTAGTAAAGTGGGCTTTCTCTTACTCTCCCAAAGAGACCACCTCCTTGTCTCAGGGTCTTTTCACATCATATTGCCTATGTCTGGAAGGCTTTTCTCCATTTCTTCTACTGTACTTTAATTCTAAGTATAACTTCTCAACTCATAGAGGTCGCCCATAAGTCTCCAGTCTGCAATGCCTCCTGGATTAAACATCTTCCCATTGCCCTGCACCTGTTCTGTGGCATGTCACACAGTTTCTAGTCTTGTGATGTTCCATGGAGTGTTCTCCATAGATGGAGAAGCATCTGTGAGTACTTGTGTAGTTCACTTTGTTCTCAGTGACTACAAAAAGAGTTCTTAATAGAAAAATATCCCATTGAATACTTGTTCAATGGGTGAAAGGGGGCCTTCACTCGATTTTATAAATAGCAGCTCATTCACAAGCTAGGGTAATACTCAAGTCAAACCATCAATCACACTGGCCTCAAACAGTCAGATCACTAATATAAACATTGAGGGCAGCAATGACCATCTTGACCAGAGCCATAAATCAGGGCTACAGAATGTACCTCTCACTTGGATTCTTACTTGTATTCTATTTTTCACATTATGACATTTTGCAGAATTTTGTGTGGCTAGAGTTTCTTTAGATGCATCTTGGAAAAGAAAAGATTCCACAAAGAAAACATTAGCCATTTTATTATTTTTCATTAAGAAAAAGTGGAGGTGTAATTATTTTTGTAATCACAAGCCATCCCAAACATGTAGGGAGGAACTGTATGCACACAAAGCATTTGCAAGGTCCTACAGTATCTGCAAGAAGAACCAGTTTACTAAGGTAACATCTCCTCTCTTCCACTGACACCATCATCATATTAAAGCAAAAATCAGTTTCAAATGGAATGGAACCATGTGGAAATTGGCAGAACAGAAAATGTAAAATAATCAGCAACCTGGAAAATTAGTATTAATAACTAAGGAGTCACAGGTCCTGACACAGCTGAAAGACATTGGAGTCTAAACAATATTCCTCTTTCTCAAATTCATTATAAATGTGTCGAGAAATGCATTTGGAGCCTTCAAATACTTTTACTGACTATGCTAAGAGTAATTTAGCAGTATTAAAAATTGACAAAGAACATGCTTTTCTCTGGGAAAGAGTGTGTGAAACTGTGTCACTTTAATTGAACCCTGCTGTGGTAGGCACATAAGAAATTGATTTCTGGGGAGTACTATGGAGAACATACTCTGTCTCTGGAACAGAGACTTTAAAAATGGATTGGAGGAAAGCTGCAGTTGGGGTCATTAGCTTTCTATAGTAAATGAAAAAGAAAACAACTACTGTAATGTTCCCATCCTCCTTGTATTTAGAAGTCATGAAGGGAAGATCATAGTTAGCTAATTTCCTTTAGTGTTGTGCCATCTAGCAAGGTGGAGAAGAAAAATATTCCATTACTATTTGCTGTCTATTTTGCTTGCCTGGAAGGCTGGAGTGGAGCAACATCTGCCTATTATTTCTTCGGTTGAGCTAGAGTGTGTACCTAATGGCAGGCACATTTCAGCCATAAGAGCATAACCTGTTCCTAACATTTCTGAAAACCAGGGAGTTATTGGTTTCTTCCTGCAAAATAGAGTTTGGCTGTGTCATATAGCTGACTGTATGACTGTAGACTATGTTTTAGGCAGATTACATAAGCCAGAAAAGGAGAGATGGCCAATCTGTAGAGAGAAAGTGGGTCCAAAGTAGGAACTGAAGACTAGAGAAGGCGACAGGGAATAATGACCTTGGTGTGGGTGCTGGTCCCATGGCTCTAGCCTAGAAATTTATCTACAAGGAAGTCAGGTTAAAGTTTCCCCTCCCCCATGTGGGCACCTTTCAGAACAAGTAGCATTCAAGCAGAGTAGCAACTAAACTTGCCTGTTTATACGTCATTAAGGAACATGCTACATTTAATTTTCCTGAGTACTGCTTTATGTCTGGTCCAGAATCCACACCTAGCAAATACCTTTTGAATGATAGCTTATAAATACTGTATTTCCTATGCTAGGGTAGAATGGTATGGAATGGCTGGAGCAGAACATTATAGCAAGAGGCATATCAAACATATCTGATGGCAGAGTTTTTGATAGAATAGATGCTGTGTACATCTGAAGCTAGATTCAAACTGAATTCCAGCTTCACTTCTAGTCAGGGGTGTAATCTCATATAGTTAATCCCCCAGTGCCTCAACTGAAATGGGAATAGTCTCTAGCTAAAAGGAGTTTGATGAGACTGCACATATTCAATTTTCTATGTGAAGTGTATCAATAGTGACTGTATAAGGTAAGTGGCTGTAGCTGTTAGTTTAACTGCTGACAGTTCTAGAAAATAACTCTCCAATAAGTTAAGATTCGTGTTACTCTCTGATGGCATATCATAGGATATTCTACAGGGAAGAGGCTCTGAGATTATTACAAGGGTGACAGAACCAATTCCAGAGCCAGAAAGTACCTTCTGGGGACTTTGTCATGGCAGATCCAGGACTGGAATCCAGTCTACTGTGACTTTTACAAGTATTGTAATTAAACAGAAGGATTAGAACTTGACCTGTATGTAAAATGGATAACATAACTGAGACAATTAAGGGTTGCAGTTAAGGTCTATGATACTGGATGCTTATAAACTCTGGTTTAGTAACAGGTACTCAACAGTTACAGCCCTTAGTAATTTAAGAAATGTGAAATTGTGCATTATTGGTATTAATCGTAACAGGGCTAGACTTTTTTCTAGCCATTTAGCTTTCATGAAACTGATCAACATATTTAGAATAATATAAAATTAAAAACCAGAGCTGGAGAGATGACTCAGTGGTGTAGAGCACTTGCTGCTTTTCCAGAGGACCCAAGTTCAGTTCCCAGCACCTACAATGTTGGCTTATAACCATTTGTAATTCTAGTTCCAGGTGATCTCATTCACTCTTCTGACCTTCCCAGGCACAAGGCATGCACATGGTGCAAATACATAATGCAAGCAAATACTTATACACATAAAATAAAATAAAAGAAAATTAAAGAAGTATTCAGGTGCTTTACTTGTATAGATTTTAATAAGACAACAAGAGCCATAGCTTAATTCTGTTCTACAATTATAAGGGGAACTTAAATAATACAATGTTTTGAGTATTGTTCAGATTAATGATCTATAGAGCACAGCTGATATTGTTGTGAACTTGTAGTGTCCTTTACCTGTATCAGCCTTCAGAGTTCCTGCATGCCTGTGGCCTACTCCTCTGCAGTGACCACATCCTGGGGAAAGGAAGTTCCATTGCACCTAAGTTGCTAAGCAGCTGGGAATAGTGTGGTTATCCTTAATTCTATTTCTTTGTTCTCATATAAAGTGCAGAGAAACCACAAGCACATGTATTTAAGTAGTTTCCTCTGGAAATAACCTTGGCAAATATGCTTTTTAGTTTAGAAGTTAATCATAATCACCAAAGATTAGGTGAAACCTCAGCTATGATAAAGGAATCCATATAAAATAGATATCTTGAATCAAATTAAAACAATTATGATGTCTTTATAAAGTAAAGACAGCCCCTGCATATTTCAATTGTAGATCCCAATACCTTCTTCACAGAGAGATGGGATTCAAAGGAGGGAAGATTTCTCAGCAAATCTTCCAGTTAAAAAAAAAAGGAAATCTCCTCTTCGCTGGAACTTTGAGAAATAAGATTTTCCTTGAGAAATTTTATTCCAAAAGAAGATTATACTAGACCTTAACCAAACCAAACTGTTAACAAAATTATCTACAAAGAGATAGAAACCTCATTTGATCTCAAACATGTTAGTAACCCAAGAAAGACTGTAGAGTAAATCACCAACTCAGGCGACAAGTTTGCAATTGGCATTTGCCTCCAGGAAGAGCCAAGCCTCCTGCTTTACCATCGATATCCCAGACAGGACAAAGAACATCACAGAGAACAGCCATAGTGCTAAGTAGAGAAGGCAGGAGGAAGCCTCTGCTGATGCAAGTCTTGGGTATCCACAGCCTGAGGAGAACCTTAAAAACCAGCTCTTTTTAGTTTATAGTTATATTCAAACCTTCTCACATACAAAACTGACAAGGCATTATGGCTGAAAAAAACAGGAAAGAAATCTTTTCAGATGAATATTAGATTCTTCTCTCATTATTCTATGCTCATGAACAGCATTGTTCCAGTGGATCATATGATATTTTCTAAGGACAAAAAGAAAAATAATGGACCTGAGCTCAGTTCCATCCCTGACTCCCTATTTTAACTTGTGTCTTAACCTAACATTAGGGACTCACCTGTTTATGTTGTTTTTTTAATGCTCTCCCAAACTACACGTTACTATATCGTAATGTGTTTATAAAAATATAGGTATTAAATACATTTCAAGTCTAAAGAGTGCCCGTATATTAGAAAAACTATTTAGGAAGTGATCAAACTAAGCTTCTGAGAATGTAATTTGGTTTTCCCCTGTTCTTTCCCCCTATATTAAATGGAAAAAAATCTACTTTATTTTGATTGAAAGCTTCTCTATTCAATAGTTAGGCAAAGTATTTACTTCAATTTATACTTAATGTTTCTATCATACCATCTTAAAATTTTATTAATCTACATCAAATATGAAGCTTTGTGAAGCATTATGACTGCATGATAAACTGGTGATTAGAGTTTAAATGTTACTTTAATGTTATTTCCAAAATTCAGATCAGTCAAACGACATGCAGCTGATTAACCATGACACTCCCGCATAATGAATTTGTTAGTCTACATCTGAACCAACTCAGAATTACCTCCTTAATTCTTTAACCTAAAGGAAGTGAAACTTTCGAATGACCTTTAAATGATGAAATACCCTACTGGTTCATTTTTCTTAGTTAACACAGGCATTTGTTCAGAGCAGAGATTCTTTATGGGATGGAAACAAAGTTATCTCTTATTGAAAGCCCCTCTAAGTGAACTGTCAATATAAAGTATAAATAAACAGATGCACTTACCTGGAATTAAAGTTCAGAGAGTTGGAAAATGCGGGGAAAAGTTTCAATCGACAGATTAAAAAAAAAGTAGGAAGAGGAGCATGTACAGCCTTCGTTTGGGCTCCCTGCCTTTGCAAGTGGCAGTAAGGCCAGTCCTGGCCAGTCCCCTCATGTTATGTAACACCTTATTAATATTAGCCATCAGACTGCTACCAAGCGGGCGAGGCACTAGAGGGCAAGAGTGACACATGCGACACCCATCTCCAAGGAACCAGCGCTGGGACCACTTCAGGGAAGACAGATGCTAACTAAGCTGATAAATACCAGATGCCTAAAAGCAGCAGCGAAACTTGCCCTTGTTCCTCAAAGAACATTTTAAATGCCAGTTTAACTAGCCCGACTTAACAGGTTAATGAATACGCGATAGCAAAGAACCACATCATGCAAAAACTTTCAGGATTATATTTACAACCCACAGTGACTCGGAGGGTTTGTCTTTGCATTGTTTAAATCAACGTATTTAGAACAGGAAAGGGGCGGGCGGAATATAAATACAACGAGTGTAGATCTCAAGACCCTTCGATTCCAGTCGCTAGAAACTTGCGATGGTCGCGCTGCCATTTCTAGAGTCCGCATTTCAAGTGGCCAGGGTTGGGCTCCTAGGACCTGCCGCCATCCTAGAGATTACCTCGGGCTGCCGAGCGCCAGCATCCTGTCTCCCGGTGCTCCTCCTCTTTGCTCTACCGCGGCGCGGCCACTGCTGCGGTGGCCTCCCGCAGCACCGGCTCCCGGGCCGAGTGGGCTGGGCGCTTGGGAAGGGCGGGACTTGCAGAGCAAGTGGTACAGGCTCTCAGGGTGCGGCTGGGCGGGGCTGGGCGGGGCGCCCGGCTAGGCGCGAGCTCGGGGACCGGTCCTCCCTGCACGCCGCCGCGCAGTCTCTGGGGTTCCTGCAGCTTGCTCACGCCCGGGAAGAGGCGTGAGCCTGGACCCAGCTTCTGCCAGCCCTCGAAGCAGCGGGAGGGATTCAGGGAAGGGCAGAACTGCATCACAGATACGAGTGTCCGGCACGGGATACCACCTCCCAAGGGCTTTCCTTCTGCTGGCTAGCATCATAAGTCCGGGTCCTCCCACCCTGGAAGACCAGACTAAGGCCAAAGGCAGATAAAAAGACATTTTTAAATTCAAGGTGAGGGTGGGAGAAAGCCCGAATGGAAGGTGTCTTCAAATACGCCATCTGCCACGTCAATGCAGAGCAGTTTGAGCCAGGGGCAATGTACCAAAGGTAACTTGGAAAAGAAATTTCTCTGGGCATAATAGAGGATCGGTCACCACCTCACAGGGTGCCACATTCCACCTACTTTAAGTGAGACAAGTCAATGTTTAGACTCCTTGGGGTTATTGAAGGCCTACTCAGGTCTGGCCAAAGGTAGCCCCATGTTTTCTTGGTAGTTAGGATTAGCATGTGACTAAGCTTAGTTATTCAGAGACAAAAGATCCCATTTATACACATATTGGTGCACTGCGTGTGGAAGTGTGCTGTTTTATGTTGGGTTCTGTCGGTGAAGAGCAATTGGAGCTTCACGACTCTCTGGGTATTGAAGACAGCTCTAACTGTTCAGGGAAGCAAACATAGGTGTTGGAGACTAGCTAAATCCATGCGCACACTGGTGCCTTCTGAACCCCGGTAAGACTAAGACACATCACACTTTCATGTGTTGTCATCATAAATCCATAAATTGACTTTTGGTTCAAGGCAGCTCCGGTTATATTTTCTGGCAACTAGAAGTTAAAGGGACACAAATGATAGAGAAATCAAACACTTTGTATTGCTTAATGATTTTAGGAAGACATTTGAAGGTATACAGCAATGCCTTCAACAGATCACAAGGTCTTGAGTTAGTTGGATTTGTGTGTGTGTGTGTGTGTGTGTGTGTGTGTGTGTGTGTGTGTGTGTGTGTGTGTATTATTAAGTGCTGAGGTTCAAATCCAGAAACTTTACACACAAAGGAAGCACTATGCCACTAAGCCACATCCCCAATCTGACTTCCTTCCTTCCTTCCTTCCTTCCTTCCTTCCTTCCTTCCTTCCTTCCTTCCTTCCTTCCTTCCTTCATTCCTCCCTTCCTTTATTCCTTTCTTTCTTCCTTTTTAAGTCAGAAAAACTGTATCTTCTTGCTCCATGAGTAGAAGACTATAGAGAAGTGAGAGAAACAATCTCTCTGCTGGAGCTACAGAAGTATTAGGCAAATAAAATTCTTTGGCTAGATGACAGGTGTCAGAATGACTCTTAATTTTATTAATTTTTTTTGTTGTTGGAGTCTCTCTTGAGAGTCTTGTGTCTTCCAAGAATGATCTCTGAAGAAACACCTCATTCGTTTTTATATGCTTACTCCAGAGAGCCTGCCCTGCCTCCTCAGCATCCATGCAGCCATCTAAAACTTCCATTTGGGAGATGTCTCAAAAATGAAGAGGCTTACCACCAAGTAAGAGAACCAGCGTCCAACCTGAACAATGTCATGTGGTTGGAGGAGAGAACCAAATTTTACAAGTTGTCCTCTGATCTTCACACAACTCCCTTCCCTAATAGATGAGCCAGAGGAGATGGAGGATACCAAGGAATCAACGCTTTCTAGACACAACAGGGCTGGCACCCATATGAACTCACTGAAAGAGAAGTGAACACATAACCTCACTCTAACCCACAAGCTGTTTCTAATTGATAACCCCTTGCAAATAAAAAGTTTTCTCCAAGGAAGTCTCACCAGGGAAAGATTATTCTTAAGAGCAGGTTCCACGGCCTGTAGCAGATTGCCATCAGAAAACCAGCTCAATGGCATCTTTGTCTCTTGATAGTAGGTTGTTTTTTTTTCCTTATAGGTCCTTTGAATGTAAGTTACAGCTTGTGGTTTTCTTCTATATAGTTCCTGTGTACTTGCACCTGTGTGTCTCTGTGTCCATATGTGTTTCTTTGCTTTTTCTTGTTTCGTTGTTTTGTCCTATTCTGATTTGCTTTCTTTTGTTTTATCTTATTATTATTTCTTAGATGTCCATTTTTCTTCTAGAAACAGAAAAGGTGTACATCCAGGTTGGAGGGTAGGTGGGGAGAAAGTGGAAGGAGTAGGTGGGGGACTGTAATCAGAACATATTTTTAAAAAGTCTATTTTCAATTAAAAATAAATAAATGTAGACAAGTATTGAACATCAACTGAGTGGCTCTGAGAATACAGTAATACCGAAAGGGAGGAAAAAGTAGATACATTTTTTTTCTGCCTCTCTGTTGCTTGTAGTGTGTTGATATGGGGTAGGCAGTATAAGATTTCAGTGAATAGACAAAAGTCACAAATCCATACACTTCTGAGTGTTCCTCCATGTGTAGTCAGGTTTGGAAATGGTTGTCTTCTATGCACAAAAGTTAGAAAGCTGGCAGAGAACCTCTTTAGCCTGTTTAAGATTGTCTTTTAAAATTTCTAGTGTTAGGTAGAACAGAAGCACATTCAATTTCCTGGTTGGTTCCGAGCATGGCTGCTTTTACCCAGTGCTGAGGCTCCTCGCCATTCATTTGCCAATGCAGATGGCTGAGGGATATGCTGTCTTCTCCCAGGATACACCCAAATCTCATAGCGCTATTATAGAAGTTTACATCTTTGTATATGTATGATAGCAGCTTGATATATTACCTGCATTTCCTTCCATCTCTGAGCTATTTGTCTGGGAGAGAGATAAAGAGGGAACATTCACGACTGACAACATTGCTTACCTTAGCCCTCCTTTTCTATTTTCTTTACCTTATGGAGGGCCAATAGGCCAGGGAATAATTTTCTCTCTAGTAGATGAATTCTCTAGCATTGTATACTGTTCACTATAGGCAAAAAAGACACTGTGCTCACCTGAATCGGCGCTTCACCTTGGAGAAGCACTTCAAATATATTCATGTCCAAATTAGCTTTCTTCAATATGTTTAATGTGATAAATGAGTTACATTAGCATTGAACTCTGGAGTACAGCACTCTTTTCATAACCACCTTTGTTCTTCCTAGTTTTACTATTTATGTAAACGTTGTGAACCTCAAAATTAGAAGCATCTTAGACTTCTGCCAAGGACTTCAAGAAGACCTAGCCTAGATTATAGGAAACATTTTGCTTATCAGGGACCAGTCTTTTAAAAAAAGAATGAGAATGTCCCTATAAATTAAAAATCTACAGAAATGATCAAAAAGAAAAAACAAAAAGAACAAAAAAATGCATTTTTGTATATTGAAATAATTAATCCTGTACTTAGCCACTCTGACAGATGGCATCTGATAGTAAGTAACTCATGGTGATGTAGAGATTTAATAACATTTCTTATATAAATTAAAATTACGACCTTTGATGGGATTTTGTTCCTCAGTGGAGGGCACTCATAATAAAAGTATTTTGAGAAACTTATTTCAATTTGCAGAGTTCTCTTCAACTTTTCAATGTCTAAATTAAATCCATGCATTATTCTGTTATGACAAGGTTAAAATGCAAATATATAGAGGACATATTGTTTTTTTATCTGAAGCAGCTAATAAGTGTGTGCATTGCAGTTTCTTTTAAAATATTCCCCTAAGACTGGTAGTAGTAACTCTGTTGATAAGCTTAATACGGTGGGATGGGGACTAAACAGAATATGTTCTGACTAGCAACTCTTAACTCAGCCCAAGGAAGGGGAGCCCTGCTTTCCTTACTGTCTCAAAAGATGTTCATTTGAAAATGGACCCAAACCAAACATCCCAGCAAAATAATTGATTGAGGAGGGACATGAGTGAATGTTAGGATGTTGCAAAGCTACAGGCACATAGGCTGCCTCCGCCTGAGTGTCCTATGGAGAGTGCCCTTGATAAATGAACAAGATAAGGTCTTTTAAAAAATATAATTTTAGCCGGGCGTTGGTGGAACACGCCTTTAATCCCAGCACTCGGGAGGCAGAGGCAAGAGGATTTCTGTGAGTTTGAGGCCAGCCTGGTCTTCAGAGCGAGTTCCTGGACAGCCTCCAAAACAATACAGAGAGACCCTGTCTCTCAAAATCAAATATATATATATACATACATATATATATAATTTCAATTAAAATAAAATTATATCACTTGTCCCCTTTCCTATAACTCCTCCCATGAACTCTCTACTCCTCAAATTGATGGCCCTTTGTTATTTT